ATTTGAAAGAGAATTGGATAAAGATGTTTCACAGATGGTATACCACTCCTGAAAAGTTAGCCCATATGTATGGAAATATGTCAAACAAGTGTTGGAAAGGATGTCAACAAATAGGCTCCTTTTACCACATGTGGTGGACTTGTAAGGAATCTACGAAATATTGGTCTCAAATACATGTGGAGGTACAAAAAATATTGAAGAAATCTTTTAAAAAGAAACCTGAGTATTATTTATTAGGCTTTACCGACCAAGAGTTACAGCTCAATGACAATGAAGATAGGTTGTTTACATATATAACAACTGCAGCAAGAATAACTTTTGCTAGTGTTTGGAAGCAGGAAATAATTCCAGAAATTGATCTATGGTTGGAGAAGGTAAGAGAAATAAGAGATATGGATACTTTGACTTTCTATCTGAAAAAGAATACGGGCAAGTTGATAAAGAGGACCGACTGGGCCCTCTTTTGCGAGTATGATAAAAGAAGAAGAGAACAAGAGGAACTGGAGATTGTAAAAGAGAATTAATGGACTAAAACACCGAAGTGTGAAATGGAAGTCAATTTTATTTAGTAGGATATGTTTAGTTTAGGGTTTTGTCGTGTGTTTTTTTTTCTTTTTTTTCTTTTTCTTTCCCCTTTTCTCACCTTTATCTTTTTCTTTTTCTTTATTTTTCTGAACTTTTCTTTAAAATATTGTTCTCACTCTTTCGATGTATATGTTAGAAAATCAATAAAAAATATTTTTAAAAAAAACCTCCAAATGGGACAGGGGGAACTTCTGAAGCTTCCCTCTCCCTCTGTTCTTGACTGTTGGTGTGATATTTATAATTTTTTTTCACTGATTAAACAAACAACAACTATAAAACTTGCCCCAGACATGCGGAAATAATAACGAAACGATTTCAAAACGATAACGAAACGAATACAAAACGAATTCGAAACAATCACGAAACGAATTTAAAAATTCGTTTTGTTTTTTAATTGCTCCTGAATGGTTCGTTATCGCTTCATTATAAAAAAAATAACGAATTTTTAACGAATTACGAAATTACGAAACGAAACCGCCCAGCCCTAATATATATATATATTCGCAGAAAATGATATTCTTCTATATTCTGGAATCCCAGTTCCAACAGACATTGCGCTCTGCTTGACCTGGGCTAAGAGGTAATGTTCCATCTTCCAGGAGCATCCTTTGCATTCCTTTTTAGTTGCATGGGATAGCATTCTTTTGCATTTCCCCAGGGTTGCTACAATCTTAGCTGCACTCTGAAAGTTAACATTATCAGAGGCTGGAAAGCCAGCCTGCAGGCCTCCTTTGCAGCTCTTGGTTCAGAAAGGTATCTCTTTGGGTCTAGGGACCGCCCTTTCTCCCAGGGAAGAGATCTCCATCTTGGAATCTCCCCTGCCTTCTTCAGTTGAGAAAGAAAGCCTCAGATGTGCTGTGGCCAGGCAGGTACTCCAAGAAAACCATTACAAGAACAATTGGGATTAAGATATAAAGAAGCTGATTGAGATTAAGATATAAATCTTAATGAGAACTAGGTAGGAAGATTGAGATAGATAGACTATTGAGATATAGGTAGAAAGATAGATTGAGAAACAGATATAGATTGAGATAATATAGATAGTGATTGAGTGATTGAGTTATTTATTTTATTTATTTATTTATTTATTTATTTATTATTTGAACTTCTATGGGGCCACTCCCTTCCCTGGGGCTCGGAGCGGCTTACAAGAATAGCTAAAATCTAACAAAGTTTAAAAGCAATTTAAAACAATTTAAAAACAACAGTATCAAACATTAAAAGCCTGTCGGAACAGGTATGTCTTACATGCCCTGCAGAAAGCTGATAAGTCCCGCAAGGCACGAACTTCAGGTGGCAGAGTATTCCAGAGTGATGGGGCCACTGCTGTGAAGGCTCTGCGTCTGGTTGCCGTTAGGCGCAAGGTCTTGACACTGGGGACTTCCAATAGATCTTGGTCCTCAGAACGGAGGGGTCTCTGGGGTCGGCAGAGGGTGAGGCGGTCCCTCGGGTACACCGGCCCCAGACCATGCAAGGCCTTCAAGGTGAGTCCCATCCCTTTGAAAGTGATCTGGTGCTCAATTGGTAACCAATGCAGCTGTAGTAAGATTGGGGTGATGTGGCATCTCATCGGAATTCCCGCAAGAAGCCGAGCAGCTGCGTTTTGTACCAACTTGAGCTTCCGAATCACCGACAGAGGAAGGCCAATGTAGAGGGTGTTACAGTAGTCCAGTCTTGAGATGACCGTGGCCTGGATCACCGTAGCAAGGTCATCCCTGGACAGGGAGGGGGCCAGCCGTCTAGCCTGCCGCAGGTGAAAGAAGGCGGTTCTGCTCACGGCAGAGACCTGGGCCTCCATTGTCAGCAGAGGGTCCAAAAGGACTCCCAGACTCTTTACCAATGATGACGGGCGTAACGCCTCGCCATCCAGGGTGGGCAGATGGATGTCCCCACTGCCCGGTCAACCCAGCCATAGGATCTCCGTCTTTGCTGGATTCACCCTCAACCTGCTGGCACGCAGCCATCCAGTCACGGCCTCGAGGCACTGATGGAAACAATCGGGTACAGAGTCCGGTCGGCCTTCCATCTTCAGCACCAGCTGAGTGTCATCAGCGTACTGGTCACACTCCAGCCCAAAACCTCGAACCAGCTGAGCAAGTGGTCGCATATAGATGTTAAACAAGAGAGGGGAGAGAATGGCCCCCTGAGGAGGAACCCCACAAGAGAGAGAGAGGGGGGGGACCTCTCGGAGACCAGGCCTCCCCTCTCCACTCGCTGTCCACGGTTGTGAAGAAAGGAGGACAGCCAGTTTAAAGCTCTCCCCTGATTCCAGCAACAGCAAGGCGGTGGGTCAAGAGATTGTGGTCGACTGTGTCAAATGCTGCTGTGAGATCCAATAGCACAAGCAGCGCTGACCCACCCTGGTCAAGCTGGCATCGAAGGTGATCCGTGATGGAGACCAGCACAGTCTCTGTCCCGTGCCTCACACGGAAGCCAGATTGGAAGGGATCTAGTCCGGCTGTGTCGTCTAGGAATTGCTGCAACTGCTCCGCTGCTGCCCTCTCAATCACCTTGCCCAGGAACGAGAGATTTGAAACTGGGCGGTAACTGGAGGGAACCGAGGGATCTAAATCTGGTTTCTTCAGCAAAGGAGAGACCACCGCCTCTTTTAAACCCTCTGGAAAGACTCCTTGCTCAAGGGAGCTGTTTATGATCTTCAACAGAGGGTCACGTAATCCCTCCAAGCAGGATTTCACCAACCAAGAGGGACACGGATCGAGGGAGCAAGTGGTCGGTCTAGCTGCAGCTATGAGCCTATCGACAGCCCCTGCGTCCAGCGGGATGAACCGGTCAAGGATGGGCCCAGCAAGTGGCCACGGGGTCTCAAGTTCTCTCACTGTATCAATTGTGACGGGGAGGTCCCGGCAAAGTAGCGAGATCTTGTCTGCAAAATAGCTCTGAAAAACCTCAGCTGGAGGGGTTAGATAGAGAAGCTTACTGAGTCATAGATAGATATTGAGTTATTGAATATTATTGAGCATTACTTTATCTCCAAAGCTAACCTTGAGCTATAAATAGGGAAAAACCTGTTTTTTTCTAACCATAGCAGCTCAGGGTTAGGGTGAAAGATTCCAGAATCTTATCTGCCTTTTGGGGAAAAGGTTACCTCAGTAACTGGAGGAAAGAAAGATCATCTTTATGGTTTCACCAATTGACTGTTTTGTTTGTAACTTTGCCAAGCTGTGCCAAGTCTGCAAGGACTTTGAGAAACAAATATTCTGTTTTGATGTTTAAAGACTGAAGTAGCCTCAGTTGCTGGGAATCTCAAGCTTCTAAAGAAAGGCCCCAGCGGTCCACCCAGACAAAGAGAGAAGCACATCTTGGTTTACTTTGATGGGGTCTGGGTGTGACGGCACAGGTCAACTGCCCAGCTGTTGGGCCATGCTGAGAAACAGCCTCAGGCACAAAGGAATCCCAGCACCTTTGTCCAGTCAGTCTGGGAAAGTCATCATTTCATCATCCCCAGGTAGCCAGGGAAAAACCAGGAAAACAACTGCTATATTTCTGCATTATATGCTTGCATCACATCTGGCAAGGGGGAAATAAAATGCCTCTCTCTTCTCTTGCCTTTGACTACTTAGATGAGTTAGTTTGGATCTGGAACTTTGGCTATTCATTCCTTACCAGGCAGAATCCTTCAAGTATTGCGGTCCAGATTCCATCTCAGCTCCCAGCTGCTTTGCATCTAAACAAAGTTGTGCAGCACTCAAATGACCCCACATTTACTGGGGGAGCACCTGCATTGTAGAATGAATGCAGTTTGACTCTACTTTAATTGCCATGGCTCCATGATATGGACTCCTGTGAGCTGCAGTTTCACAAGGTCTGGAGCCTTCTCTGCTAAAGAGAACTGGTGTTTGGTCAAACTACAACTCACAGGGTTTGATTTTGCCAATACAGCACCTAAAAACACCCCCCCCCCCCCAGATTTCTTCTGCCTGGTTCTTCTGGACTTTTTGTTTGTTTGTTTGTTGTTTTGCCTGGTGAAGAAGCCACAGAACTTGGAAGTTGGCATGTCTGGATTCTGGGTTGTATCAGTGTTATAAGATGAGCTTTGCTGGTGACAAACCAAGGCAGCAGGTGGCCCTCAAAGTGCCCTTCACCGAGTTTAGCTGCTGGGTTCCAGCAAGCGACAGAACCGGGTCCTTGGGGAACACATGCTCTGTAGGCTGCCTTGAGCGCAATGTTCCAACCCTTTGTGGCGGTGAGATGCAAAGTCTTGAGACAGGTGTGGGTGGCAAGGGGCTCTCTCTCCCTTGCCTTTGTGCCACTTTTGAGCCCAAGCCCCACAAGAGCCCCTTGCTTCCTGGCAAAGATGCCAGCCCCCACTCCCCCAATGACCAAGGAGACTGGCCTGTAGAGGCTGTGCCCCCTCCCCCTAGCCCTGGCTGGGACCAGCCCTCTCCCTTTCTCACCACAGCCTCCAGTGCTGTGGCCTCCAAGGGCTCCTTCAGGACCAGCAGCCGGGACGCCCTCTCTTGACAGTCCTTCTGGCTGTTTTCCCAATTCTTCTCTTGCTCGGAGACCAGGAGGCACCTCCAGCGGAAGAGCCTCCAGCCAGAGGGGCAGCAGCCTATGGGAAGGAAGGGCAACTATTTATTTATTATTAACTTTATTTGTACCCCGCTAACATCTCCCGAAGGATTCGGTGCGGCTTACAAAGGCCAAGTCCCTCCATAAAACAACAGCATAACAAATACAAACAATAAAACTCAAAAAGCAAACCAATAAACATTAAAGCAGTAACAGTAAAACAATAAAACAATACATCATAACACATTAAAACTAGGGCCAGACCAAATGTAATGTTAAAAGTGCTGGGCTTGACAGGTGAAATATAAGGATTTTAGGGTAGGTGCAATGTGCAGACAATCTTAAATCACTAGTAAAGTGCATTTGGGACATGATGCTGGGAGTTTCCTATTCTGGAAAGGCACACTGGAACAGCCAGGTCTTCAAGCTCTTCCTAAAGACTGCGAACTTTGGGGCTTGTCTGATGTCCTTGGGGAGAGAGTTCCAGAGTCGGGGGGCCACCACAGAGAAGGCCCTGTCCCTCATCCCCACCAAACGCGCTTGCGACACAGGTGGGATTGTGAGCAGGGTCTCTCCAGATGAACGGAGGGATCGTGTGGGTTCATATACGGAGATGCGGTCACGCAGGTAGGTGGGTCTCAAACTGTTCAGGGCTTTGTAGATAAGTACCTGCACCTTGAATTGGGCCCGGAAAATGAACGGCAGCCAATGGAGCTCCTTAAACAGGAGGGTTGACCTCTCTCTGTAAGGAGCACCAGTTAACAACCTGGCTGCCGCCCGTTGGACCAGTTGGAATTTCCGAGCCATTTTCAAGGGCAGCCCCATGTAGAGCGCATTACAGTAGTCCAATCTGGAGGTGACCAAGGCATGGACCACCCCGGCCAGATCAGCCTTTACGAGGTACGGTCGCAGTTGGCACACGAGTCTCAATTGTGCAAAAGCCCTCCCGGCCACTGCCAACGCCTGAGCTTCAAGCGTTAGTGATGAGTCCAGAAGGACTCCCAAACTGCGGACCTGTGGCTTCAGGGGGAGTGCAAACCCGCCCAGCACAGGTTGCCACCCTATACCCTGATCCAGCTTACAATTGACCAGGAGGACCTCTGTCTTGTCGGGATTGATCTTCAGCTTGTTCCTCCTCATCCAGATAGACACAGCGGCCAGGCACTCGTCCAGCACCCGAGAGGCCTCCTTGGAATTAGGTGGAAAGGAGTAGTAGAGTTGTGTGTCATCTGCGTAGAGGTGGCATCTAGCTCCAAAACTCCGGATGACCTCTCCCAGCGGTTTCATGTAGATGTTAAAAAGCATGGGAGACAGAATAGAGCCTTGCGGACCCCACAGGTCAAAGGCCAGGGGTCCGAACAGGCCTCTCCTAGCTTCACCATCTGGGATCGACCCTCCAGGAAGGACCGGAGACACGACAGAACCGTGCCCCCCGAGACCCATCCCAGAGAGTCATCCCAGAAGGATACCATGATCGATGATATTGAAAGCCGCTGAGATGTCCAAGAGAACCAACAGAGTCACACTCCCCCTGTCCAGCTCTCTACGGAGGTCATCCACCAAGGCGACCAAGGCTGTCTCGGTGCCGTGACCAGGCCTGAAACCAGACTGTGACTGATCTAGGTAGTTGATGTCATCTAAAAAGCCCTGGAGCTGGGAGGCGACCACCCGCTCCAGCACCTTACCCAAAAAAGGGAGGTTGGAGATTGGTCTGAAGTTGTTCAGCACCGTGGAGTCGAGGGAGGCCTTTTTAAGGAGTGGTCGAACCACAGCCTGTTTTAGTCGAGATGGGAAAAAACCCTGCTCCAATGATGCATTAATGATCTCAACACAAACCTTTGACCTGTGGCGTTCCACAGGGTTCTATACTGTCCCCCATGCTGTTTAATATCTACATGAAGCCGCTGGGTGAGATCATCCGGAGTTTCGGGGTGCGGTGTCATCTGTACGCAGATGATGTCCAACTCTGTCACTCCTTCCCACCTGCTACTAAGGAGGCTGTCGAAGTCCTGAACCGGTGCCTGGCCGCTGTAATGGTCTGGATGAGGGCGAACAAACTGAAATTAAATCCAGACAAGACAGAGGTACTCCTGGTCAGTCGCAAGGCCGAACAGGGTATAGGGTTACAGCCTGTGCTGGACGGGGTCGCACTCCCCTTGAAGGCGCAGGTTCGCAGCTTGGGTGTGACCCTGGATTCATCTTTGAGCCTGGATCTCCAGGTTTCAGGGGTGACCAGGGGAGCATTTGCACAGCTTCGGCTCGTGCGCCAGCTGCGCCCGTATCTTGGGAAGTCTGACTTGGCCACGGTGGTACACGCTCTGGTCACATCCCGCCTTGACTACTGCAACGCTCTCTACGTGGGGCTGCCCTTGAAGACGGCCCGGAAGCTTCAGCTAGTCCAGCGCGCGGCAGCCATGTTACTAACGGGAGCGGGACGCAGGGAGCACACAACGCCCTTGTTGTTCCAGCTCCACTGGCTGCCGATCTGCTACCGGGCCCAATTTAAGGTGCTGGTGTTAGCCTACAAAGCCCTAAACGGTTCCGGCCCAAAATACCTATCGGACCGCATCTCGGCCTATGAGCCCACGAGGGCCTTAAGATCATCTGGGGAGGCCCTTCTCTCGATCCCGCCTGCCTCACAGGCACGTCTGGCGGGGACGAGAGAAAGGGCCTTCTCGGTGGTGGCCCCCCGGCTGTGGAACACCCTCCCTGTTGACATCAGTCAGGCGCCCTCCCTTATGGCTTTCCGTAAGAGCCTAAAGACCTGGCTATTTGAAAAGGCATTTAATTGAGTGCTATACAAACGGGTAATGACAAGTGGAACGGAATACGGTCTATGAGATTGGCTATGATTCTATGTGTGACGACGCGGATTAGTTTAGTGTAAATTAGTTTAGTGTGTATTAGTGAATTGCTGATTTTGTTGTGCTTTATTGTATACTGTTTTTATATGTTGTACACCGCCGCGAGTCGCCCTTGGGCACTACATTCGCCAGCAAATACGTTTTTGGTTTTGATGTCGAGCACCCCCCCTCCCCCAAAATAAGGGATAGTGACTTATAGTTCTGCAAAGGGCAAGGGCACCAGACTACACAACAAGGGTTACGTCTTGGTCACATTGCCAAGGCACTGACAACAACAAGGACCCCACGAGGCTTTTGGGAAATGGCTGGATCTTGGGACTTCTGCCCTTTGTGAGAGTTGTAGTTCCCCCAAGGACCGAGCGATGGATCATGTTATCTATCAACTCAGTGCCCATCCGCTGACTTCTACCAAGAGAAATAACTCTTTGCTGCCTGACTTGGACTGCAAGCCACCTCCGCCTCCACAAACCTTCCCCAGGGGCATGGGATTTCCAGTTCTTTTAATAAATCAATATTGTAATAAAATAAGAAAGATGTGGGGTGGGAAGGGAAATTTTATATGAACTTTGTATAAGAAATTATTGTATGAAATGTAGTTTGTTTCCCCCTTTTCCCTTGACTTTTGCCCTACAAAAAAGTGACCAGGAGCTGTTGCGATGCTCGAGGGAACATCTTTGTCTCTCTCGAAACTCATTTTTTTGATTGACTCATCTGCATGAAACAATAGCCATTGATTTCTTTATCTCGTTTTCTGAGCATGCCTGGCAAGATGAGGAGGTTCATGAGATATGGAAAGAAAATGATTGAAATTACAAAGGGCAGCGTTGATCCCCTTGAGGTCCGCAGCCCGACCCTGTTTGTTTCTTCCCCCCGAAACCCATCAAGAACAGGAAAACTTTTGTTTGTGAAGATCACACCTTGCCAGCCCAAACAAAGCCTTGCATTCCAGCTGGCCGGCAATCTGTAATCTCATCATTTCCCCCATTGTCTGCGGTTGTCCCGCCTTGCCTGCTTCTGATTTGTCCATCCTCAGAAGCGAGGAAAGCCTGCTGATTGACCCTCCAGAGGCAGAGGAGCTTGCTGATTGGCCCAGAGCAAGGCGGGCCACCAAGCCTCCTCCCAGCTGATCGTGCTGTCAACCAGTCAGCGTGAAGCCGGCCGGCAGAGGGCGGGCGGGAGATTTGAACTGTTTTCCTTTGTATTTTCTCTATAAATATGCTTGTAACTGCCCTAGCAGCATGCTTGTGGTGGAATTATTCCTACAATGCATCCGATCTCAGCTGAATCGCTAATAAAGACACCTCGATTGCTGAACTTCTTCCGCTTTGGTGAGGATTATTATTTTTTAATATTTTTATCGCTGAAATTGGCTTCCGCTGGCCTCACCAAGGTTTATTAAGGACTCTCTTTGGTGTAGTCCTCGGGATCTCCCTTGCTGGGGAGATCCTCCTAAAAGCAGCTCGATATCAGTTTCAGGGTTTTGAAAATTGAGGTGCTCATTAAATTCAATGGCACATGAGACTTGAGTCAATAGGATAATATAATATCCCACTTTCCAACCTTAAAACATGACTCAAAGCAGCAGGATAGATAAGAGAAAGGGAAAGAAGGAAGAAAGGAAAGGCTGGAGAGAAGGAGAGAGACGTACCAGTCTGCTGGCAGGACGTTGCCCGTTGCAGCTCTTCCTCCTTCTGCTTCAGGGTCTCCAGGGTGTGGTTGGCCTCCTCCAGTGCTTCTTGGAGCTGCTTCTGAGTCTTTCTGGTGGCCTCCTGGCTCCTCCAAAGGGCCTTCTGCGTGGAGTTGAGCTCCTCCTTGGCCCGGTGCAGCTGGACCTCCATCTGGGCCAGGCTCCCTTCCTGGGCGCTGCTGAGCTCCGCACGTGCTTGGGATGCCCACCTGAGCTGCCCAGAGACCTGCCAGTCTGCAAGGATTTCCCATGGGGACCATGAATGAGCCCACAGTCCCTCAGAACATGCCATGCAAATCATCTGGCGAGTGAGGAAGTGGCATACAAGGCCATCATGGTCAAGGCAGCCCCCCCTCCTCCCCTTGCCCTGATGGTTTGAGACAAGAATCCTAGAATAGTAGTCAGAAGGGGACTCTGAAGGTCATCCTGTCCAACCCTATTCTGCCAGGAAGACACAATCCAAGCCCCATCTACCACCACCACCACCACCACCACCACCTCCAGAAGGCCATCCAGCATCTGCAGCAGCAGATTACACTCTTGAACAGCTCTTATGAAGGAAGGAAGGAAGGAATCAGTCTCTCAATCATAAGGTTTGGAAGGGATCCTCTCAAGGCCATCCATCCCCACTCCCTTCTTCCAGGTAGGAAGACAATCCAAGCCCTCCCTCCAGATAGTCATGCAGCCTCTGCTCAAAAACCTCCGAATAAGGAGACTACACCGGACACTCAGGCAGACGTTGATTCCACTCTTGAACAGCTCTTATGGATTAATCAATCAATGAAGTTTGGGAAGGGACCTCTAAAGACCATCCATCCCAAGACCAACCAGTCCTTGCCCATGGGGTCAGGTGGGTCCAGAAGCCGACTCAGTTTCCTCCTTGTAAGCAGATTCAGATCTGATACATGTATATCCATCCCCAAGATGGATATACATGATACATGTATATCCATCCATACTTCCCTTCTGCGAAGTAGGAAGACACAATCCAAGCCCTCTTAAAAGATGGCCATCCAGCCTCTACTTCAAACCCTCCAGAGGAGGAGACTCCACTCCAGAGGCTCCCTTAGGCCTTAAAGGGTCTGGCCAAGAAGCCCCTTCCCACGCAGGCCGAGCCGGGCAGAGCAACAGCACCTGCTTCTATGGCACAGGCCAAAGTGCTGGGCTGCCATGACCAGAGGAGATACCACCTGCACCCGTTTCCCAGGGGAGTGGGCAGAGCCACGGGCTACTTACATCGGACCCCGAGTCCTATGGCGGTGGCCAGGAGGAGGAGGAGGAGGAGGGTGGCGGTCAGCACTGCCAGGCCGGCTTTCCAGCTCCAGCGGCCTGAGCCTGGGAGGCAAGAGGCATGGGTCAGTCTGGGTTGGTCCTGGACTAGTTTCAGCCCCCAAAGCAGATCAGCCGGGGACTGCAAGAACCCTCTGGGTGCAAATGATTGGCACGAAAGGGGAGGGCACCTGGTTCTCAGGTCTGGGGCCTGAGATGCCAAGCTGCCCCCTGCAAGGGATCCCTTTGTCATCGAGGGCATCCCAGGCCACTGCCTTCAAGCTGGTGTGATCAGCAGCAGGGAGTTCCGCAGTTCCTGGATGCCAAATTGGGCCAAACTGATGAAATGTGCCCCAGCAGCAAGCTCAACCAGGTTCAGCTGTATTTCCCCCAATGGTTAGGCAGAGTGGGGGGAAGAAGAGGGGAGAAGGGGGCCACCATTGGGGTGCAAGGGACTCACCTGCCTCCCCTTTGGGGGTGCTTGGGGGCTCCTCCGCCTGATGGGGCCTGCTGGACTCCTGGATGTTCTCATAGGTGAGCTCCCCATCTTCGGCTCCAGTCCCTGGAAGAGGAGGAGGGCATTTGGGGGGCCTTGTGGGGAAAATGAGACCCCCCACCTGTGCGGGGCCTGGCCCTGCCAGATGCCTACCTTGCTGTGGGACCTTCTTCCTGGGAGGCTTTTTCACAAACCTCAGGTCAGCATAGGTCACTCCTTGGGCCATCCCCAGCCAAGAAGAGGGCACGAGGGGGTCTCACTGGCGGCTGCAAAGAGAAAACTCCCGAGCTGTCCAGCTGGAACCGGTGTGGCTTTTGTGCAGCAGAGGAGGCAATTTGTCCTTGTGACAGAAAGCAGAAGTGGAACCACCCCAGCCAAACTTTGTACAAGCATGCACACACACAAACCACAACTTCTGCTCCAGGACACAAATCATCGGCTGTGCACTTTCTCTGTTGTCAAGCCATGACACCCCACCTGAAAAATATATAGTTTGCCAAGAGCTTTGCAATAAATATAATTATTTTAAACACAAGATGAGTCCACAGCCGATACTCTGCTGGCTGTTGAATTGGATCACACGTCGGACCCTTCCCAAGTGTCTAGGACTGTGTGATGTATCGGCGAATATTGCGTGCCGATACTAGCAAGGTGGACTTTTGCAGCTGGCAGGTGGTAATTTTGTCAGTGCCGATTGTGTTTAAGTGCAGGCCAAGGTCTTGAGGCACTGCACCCAGTGTGCCAATCACCACTGGGACCCCCTTGACTGGTTTGTGCCAGAGTCTTTGCAGTTCGAGCTTTTCCAGTTGTTTCTTTGCAATCCTGCTGTCACCCTGGATTGCAACATTGACAGTCCATACTTTGTTTTTTAACACAATCATGAGGTCAGGAGTCTTGTGCCCCAAAATTCTGTCTGTCTGAATTCAGAAGTCCCAGAGTTGCTTGACGTGTTCATTCTCGGCTTGTGATCCCACCAGTTCTTTGTCGCAGGCAGATGGTGTTTGTGGCACAAGTTCCAATGAATCATCTGAGCGAGGGTGTTGTGCCTCTGCTTGGCGTCTGTCTGTGTGATCTTCTCGCAGCAACTGAGGATGGGATCTATGGTTTCATCTGCTTCCTTGCAGAGTCTACACTTGGGATCTGTCATCGACTTTTCAATTCTGACTTGGATGGCCTTGGTTCTAATGGCTTCTTCTTGGGCTGCTTCCTCCCGCCACTGCCCCCGCATGGGGAGAGGGGGGAGGGTAAGTGCACGCCACTCCCCTTCCTCTCTTGCCACGCACATGGGCAGGGCCAGGGGTGGCTCAACCCACTACGCAAAGTAAGTATTTGCAGTGGAGTTGATTTTGCCCAGGGGCGCTCTTGGGGGAAAATAGACCTTGACATATGCGAGTTGTAGTTACTGGGATGTATAGTTCACCTACAATCAAAGAGCATTCTGAACTCCACCAGTGATGCAATTGAACCAAATATGGCACACAGAACTCCCACGACGAACAAAAAATATATATCCGTGATTGGTTGGGGGGGGCGTGGTGCGCCAAAATACTGTTTGTTTACCGTTGAAAATTACCTTTCCCGCCCAAGAACACTCCCTCTCTTTAGCCCTCTTAGCTCCCTTGATGTCTCACTCTCCAGCATGACATCGGAAGCATCCCCACATCAGATCCAAGGGAAACTATACTCCAGCCTTCCTTCCCCAGAAAGCTGACTAACCACAGACTCCATCAACGTGGGGGGGGGGGGGGGGGGAGGAGGGGGCCCCCATTCAGATTGTGTGGGGGAAGAGACTTGCTGGTCACCAACACCCCAGGGAGAAGCGCAACAGAGTTCTTGCAACCCTGGAGAAGGTAGGAAGTGGTAGGCTCCATGACAGACCCCTTGGTCTTAAAGTCCTGCTGATCAATGCCAGATCCGTCAATGGAAAGACCGTTGCCATCCAGGACCTGATCCTGGATGAGAGGGCGGATCTGGCTGCATTACCGAGACCTGATTGGATGAGCTGGGGGGGGGAGTAAATCTAACTCAGCTATGCCCACCAGGTTTTGGAGTGCATGAGCAGGCCAGGCCAGGGGGGCGGGGAGGTGGGGTCACAGTAGTCTATCGGCAATCCATCGCCGTGGTCAAATGCTCGGTTCCGCAATCATCTGGGTTCGAGTGTGTCCACCTGAGGGTGGGAAACCGTGACAGCTTGGAGTTTCTGCTGGTGTACCGCCCACCCCGCGACCCAGCAGTGCCTTTACCGCCGCTGCTGAGGAAGGCGCACATGGGGCATGGGAGGAGAGAAAGGCGCACACCTTTCCCTTCTCGCTCACACATCTTTCCTTCTTCCGCTGCCAAAAAAGGTGCGCGCGGCAAGAGAGGAAGGGGAGTGGCGTGCACTTATCCTCCCCCCTCTCCCCATGCATGGCTTTTGTGCTTCCTCCCGCCACTGCCCCCGCCACTGTGGCCACGCATGGGACAAAGAAGAAGGAGAGCAAGCCTGCGGAAAAGCCTGCCGCAGGGGTTGCCGAGGAAGGCTTGCCTTTCCCTCCTCCTCCCTTGTTCCGTGCGAGGTTTCCTTGGTGGAGGAGGGAGCTGTGGCTGTGGGGCTTTTCTATGGCCTTGGATCCTGGTGGGAAGACATGGGGAAAGGGCTCTTCTTTTAGCCCTACACACTAGGCCTGGGTAACAACGGAAAAATTTGTTTCTAAAATCGATTTGTATTTGGGGTTTTTTTTTTGTTTCGATATTTAAAATAATTACAAAATTTTCCTTTTAAAAAGTTCGATATTTACGAAATTTCGTAAATGGTAAAAAATTAACGAATCGATTTCCGAAACAATAACGAATCGATTCGTTAATGGCGGACGCGACCGCGAAATACGCTAAAAAACCTCCAAAACCTTCTGAAGCTTCCCTCTCCCTCTGTTGTTGACTGTTGCTGTGATATTATAATTTTTTTTCACTAATTAAACCATAAAACTGGCCCAGACATGCGGAAATAATAACAAAACGACCTCAAAACAATAACGAAACGAATACAATATCGAAATACAAAGCATTTACAAAACGTTTTTGAAAATTCGTTTTTTTAATAATTGCTCCAGAATGGTTCGTTATCGTTTTGTAATTGAAAAAATTAACGAATTATTAACGAATTACGAATTAACGAAACGAAACCGCCCAGCCCTACTACACACTCCTGCCAGGACCCTGACCCAAATATAAGCTGAGGGGAGGTTTTTCAGCATGGAAAAAAAAGGCTGAAAAATTCGGCTTATAGTCGAGTATATACGGTAGTCAAACACAGCAGTCCTTACACATAGGCATTCTTCATACAGATGGAAGTCTTCACACAGGAGGAGCAAGTAACTCATGGGTACACCTGCTTATATTACCCGACCGGTTTGGCTTAGTCGTTGCAACATTTCAACTCTTTCAGTGCCTGTATGTCATGAATGAGTTTTCAATAACTTTGAAGCATAGGTTCTTTTTATTGCAATTTCCAGTGTGAGAAGGTATATAAAATTATAGAATCATAGAATCAAAGAGTGGGAAGAGACATCCTGGGCCATCATCCAGTCCAACCTCATTCTGCCAAGAAGCAGGAATATTGCATTCAAATTACCCCTGACAAATGGCCATCCAGCCTCTGCTTAAAAGCTTCCAAAGAAGGAGCCTCCACCACACTCCGGGACAGAGAGTTCCACTGCTGAACAGCTCTCACAGTCAGGAAGTTCTTCCTCATGTTCAGATGGAATCTCCTCTCTTGTAGTTTGAAGCCATTGTTCCATTGCGTCCTAGTCTCCAAGGAAGCAGAAAGGAAGCTTGCTCCCTCCTCCCTGTGGCTTCCTCTCACATATTTATACGTGGCTTGCATTTGTCCCTGTTGAACTTCATTGTGTTAGTTTGGGCCATTCATCTCTCTAATCCATCAAGATCGTTTTGAATCCTGCTCCTGTCCTCTGGAGTCTTGGCTCTCCCTCCCAATTTGGTGTCATCTGCAAACTTGATGAACCTGCCTTCTCACCCTTCATCTAAGTCACGAATGAAGATGTTGAACAGGACCAGGCCCAGGGGGGAACCCTGCTTGTGGCACTCCGCTCGTCACTTCTTTCCAGGATGAAGAGGAAGCCTTGGGGAGAATCACCCTCTGGGTTTGTCCATTTAACCCATTCCAGATCCACCTCACCGTAGTTTTGCCTCGCCCACATTGGACTAGTTTCCTTGCCAGAAGGTCATGGGGGACCTTGTCGAAGAAGGCCTTCCTGAAATCCAGGTACGCTCCATCCACGGCATCATCCCCGCATCTACCCAGCTTGTAACTCTATCGAAGAAAGAGATCAGATTAGTCTGGCATGACTTGTTTTTGATAAATCCATGTTGACTATTAGCGTAGGGCTGTCCAAACACGGAAAAAATTGTTTCTAAACTCGATTCGTTTTTAGGGGTTTTTTGCGTTTCGTTATTTAAAAGAATTACAAAATTTTCCTTTAAAAAAGTTCGATATTTACGAAATTTCGTAAATGTGAAAAAAATTACAAAACATTAACGAATCGATTTCCGAAACAATAACGAATCGATTAGTTAATGGCGGACGCGACCGCGAAATACGCTAAAAAACCTCCAAAAACTTCTGAAGCTTCCCTCTCCCTCTGTTGTTGACTGTTGGTGTGATATTATAATTTTTTTTCACTAATTAAACAAAAAACAACCATAAAACTTGCCCAGACATGCGGAAATAATAACGAAACGACCTCAAAACAATAACGAAACGAATACAATAACGAAATACGAAGCATTTACAAAACTATTTAAAAATTCGTTTTTAAAAAAAATTGCTCCAGAATGGTTCGTTATCGTTTTATAATTGAAAAAATTAACGAATTATTAACGAATTACGAATTAATGAAACGAAACCGCCCAGCCCTAATGACCGCATCGCTATTAGCGATGACTATTAGCGATGACCTCAACATTCACACACATGTACATGCATTCATCCACATGCATCCCAATATTAACATGTCATTTTCTCCCTCCTTGGAGAAACACCTTGTAAAGAAGACACGTCGACGAAGCCACCAGTTTAATAACAAAGCCTGTATCTATATGCAGTGCGTGTGGCGGGAATGTTCTGCCTTCTCTTTGACATAAACGAATACGTGTGACACGTGTTAGCCACCACTTTAACACTTAGGATGTACTCCGTTTCCACCCTGTTGAAATGTGCCTTTAATTTAGCCTTAGTGCCACCATTTACTATTATGTAGAGCGTGTGAGAGAAGAATATTTCCTTTTTAAAACATTTTGCTGCTTTGTACTGATTCAGGCTCCTTTTTCAAACTGAATCGCACTCTCTGTGTTTATAAAAACCTTTTGGCTTTGAACCATAGGCTTGAGGCTCTCGTATGCAACAAGGGCACAATGTTTATTTATAAATGTCACCCCAACACTTGGGGTTCCATTTGTATCTTGTCACGTTCTTAAGGCTTACTTTCAATATCATTAACTTGTATTGTCGAAGGCTTTCATGGCAGAACCACTGCAGCACAGTGCCTCTGATTCCCAACCCCCTTTCAGGTCTTCCAGAAGGAGATCATGGTCAATGGCATTGAATGTGGCTGAGAGATCGAGAAGCACCAAGAGGAACACACGCCCCTTGCCAGTATTGAGACCATCAGAGATCATCCACAAAGGTGACCAGAGCAGCCTCAATGCCGTCTTCTCTTCTGAAGCAGGTGTGAAATGGGTCAAGGAAGCATTGGTCCTCCAAGAATGTCTGGAGCAGAACTGCAGCTTCACAGTTTCCTAAGACAAATATTGGGTTTTGGGGGTGATCCCCCACTTCCTTCTGTTCCTAGAAGGCATATTTTTCTCTGTGAATGGCTTCGTTCACTCTTTGGCTCTGCCTTGAAGTCCCTTCCTCCGTATGTGCTCTGGCCAGTCATACTCTCAGAAGATGCTTGGAGTCCTGAAATGGGAGAAAAGGAGGAAAGAGTGGGAAATTTGGGGTGCTTCTGCCCCACCCCCATCACTTAGAAAAAGTGAAGGGACATGTTGCTACTAGACATTTACAATAGGCTTTTTCTAAGTAACAGGGAGAATCAGAACCTTTTTTGTTACAGCTGCCACAAGTTAATTGGGTGTGTTATCTGCTTCAGCATATAACAAGGCACTAGGCTTGCAAGCTTTTGTGCTTTGCATTTGGCTTAGCTGGATGGCTCATTGGAACTGAAGAAACCTTTGGCTGTTGCTGGGAGCGGTTATGCAGCATCCTTAAGCTGAAGACTGACGCCATTTGGAGTACCAAGGAAACTGCTTGTTTATGACAAGATAAGGACATTCTACTCATAACTAAGTAGGGAGAAGATATTATTTAGATATATGCATATAGAATCATAGAATCATAGAATCAAAGAGTTGGAAGAGACCTCATGGGCCATCCAGTCCAACCCCATTCTGCCAAGAAGCAGGAATATTGCATTCAAATCACCCCTGACAAATGGCCATCCAGCCTCTGCTTAAAAGCTTCCAAAGAAGGAGCCTCCACCACACTCCGGGGCAGAGAGTTCCACTGCTGAACGGCTCTCACAGACAGGAAGTTCTTCCTCATGTTCAGATGGAATCTCCTCTCTTGTAGTTTGAAGCCATTGTTCCGTGTCCTAGTCTCCAAGGAAGCAGAAAACAAGCTTGCTCCCTCCTCCCTGTGGCTTCCTCTCACATATTTATACATGGCTATCTTATCTCCTCTCAGCCTTCTCTTCTTCAGGCTAAACATGCCCAGTTCCCTAAGCCGCTCCTCATAGGGCTTGTTCTCCAGACCCTTGATCATTTTAGTCGCCCTCCTCTGGACACATTCCAGCTTGTCAATATCTCTCTTGAATTGTGGTGCCCAGAATTGGACACAATATTCCAGATGTGGTCTAACCAAAGCAGAATAGAGGGGTAGCATTACTTCCTTAGATCTATACACTATGCTCCTATTGATGCAGGCCAAAATCCCATTGGCTTTTTTTGCCGCCACATCACATTGTTGGCTCATGTTTAACTTGTTGTCCACGAGGACTCCAAGATCTTTTTCACACGTACTGCTCTCGAGCCAGGCCTCGTCCCCCATTTTGTATCTTTATTTCGTTTTTTCTGCCAAAGAAAAAATATATCGTCATGTAAAGAAGAAGGCTCACCGGAGATATTGTTTGTTGTATATTGGTGAGAACAATTCTTCTGTTTTGCTTTGTGTTTTTGATCTACAGTGAACAGAACTATATTTTTGTTTTTACTTAAAGCAAGAAACTCATGTGTATTTTTTGAGGTTTTTTTATCACACTGAGAGTAAAAGGAGCTGAGACATTCTGCGGGCTGCTAATGCCACTCTGACATAATGCCACTCTGACTCTTCCATTCCAACCTGCTTGTCTATGTCCAGTGAGTCAACTCTGGGAAAAGGCCAAACACCACTTGACCCAGGGACACTCTTGCTTGAGCAGTGATTGGCTTGAGAGTCCTGCCCAGCTGGACAGCCCTCAGGGCCTTTGGTCAGCCTGGCCAGTGGGCTGTCAGGCAAGGAAGCCACCAGGTCACAAGGGAGCAGAGTGTCCCTTGGCTGTAGAGTAGTCAGGCAAGGCAGGATCCTAAAGGAAGGCCAAAAACAGTCAGCGCCCGGCTTGTAACAAGAGTGCATGGGACACTGATACTGAAATACAACACTGCCTGAGCTCTGCGAGCGCAGCATTCTTCTGAATGAAGCAGAGAGTGTTTGAGGACCAAGACATCTGTAGGGAGACCAAGGGGATTGTTTATAAAGCTATTGTCCTCCCAACCCTGCTATACGCCTGCGAGACGTGGACTGTCTACAGACATCACACTCAACTTCTGGAACGATTCCATCAGTGTTGCTTCTGAAAAATCCTGCAAATCTCTTGAGAAGACAGGCGGGGAAATGTCAGTGTGCTGGAAGAAGAAGCAAGAGCACAAACACCGAAGCGATGCTCCTACGCTATCACCTTCGCTGGACTGACCACATTGTACGAATGCCCAATCACTGTCTCCCAAAGCAGCTACTCTACTCCGAACTCAAGAACGGGAAATGGAATGTTGGAGGACAGGAAAAGAGATTTAAAGATTGGCTTAAAGCCAACCTCAAAAACTGTGGCATAGACATAGAGAAGCAGGGAGCCCTGGCCCTAGAGCGCTCCAGCTGGAGGTCAGCTGTGTTCAGCAGTGCTGCGGGGTGAAAGGGAGAAAAGTGCCAAGAGGAAGGCACATCAACCCAACCCTGACTAGGACCACCTTCTACATGGAAAACGATGCCCTCACTGCAGGAGAACATGCAGGTCAAGAATAGGGCTCTGGGGTCACCAAGACACCACATCTGGAAGACCATCATTCTCGAGCTATAAGGGATCGCCTAAGTAAGTAAAGTAAGTAAGGGATCATAGCAAGGGAAAGAGAGGCTGGACTAGATGACACCCAGAGGACCCTCTGGTTGGGAAGCCCAGCATTTCCCCCCACAGCCCACCCTTGATATAAAGGTTTTGCATTAATTTGTCTAAACAAAAAATAAAAGGAGAGGCATAAGAAGGTGGAGGAGTCTCTCAGGGAGCGTCAGTGCTGGCCTGGGGTGGGGGGTGGCCTGGATGACCTTTGGACCCCTCCCCTCTTCCGACCCCTGGGCCCCTGCACCCCAGCACTGACCTGGTGACCAGGAGGTCGAGCAGCAGCAAGAGCATCACGGCCAGGACCAGGGCCAGCTGGAGGGAGATCACGATGAGGGCCACCGGCACTCCTCCCCTGTCCGGCTGGGCATCTTCTGAAAGGCAAGGCAGGCGTCAGAGGAAGCCCTGCCTGTGGGACCCCAAGACACAATCCCCAAGGAACGGAGGAAAGGGGTGATGGAGTTCAGCCCGTGATTGTGTCTAACGATAAGGGTACTCTGGGTGTTGGGAGTGACAATGAGGTTCATGTGTCAAATGATGAGGTTGCTCTAGATGCAGAGAATGACAATGGGACTCCTGTTCAAAGTGACTTTCCTGATGGGAATGTTCCTGATGGGTTTGGGGATGAAAAAAGCAGCAAAAAAAGCCAATGGGATTTTGTCCTGCATCAAGAGGAGCCTAGTGTCTAGATCTAGGGAATTCCTGCTCCCCATGCTCTATTCCGCTTTGGTTAGACCACACCTGGAATCACATTGTGTCCAATTTTGGGCACCACAATTCAATAGAGGTATTGACTCTAAGCTGGAATGTGTCCAGAGGAGGGCAACTAAAATGATCAAGGGTCTGGAGAACAAGCCCTATGAGGAGCGGCTTAAGGAGCTGGGCATGTTTAGTCTGAAGAAGAGAAGGATGAGAGGAGATATGATAGCCATGTATAAATATGTGAGAGGAAGCCACAGGGAGGAGGAGGGAGCAAGCTTGTTTACTGCTTCCCTGGAGACTAGGACGCAATGAACAATGGCTTCAAACTACAAGAGAGAAGATTCCACCTGAACATGAGGAAGAACTTCCTGACTGTGAGAGCCGTTCAGCAGTGGAACTCCCTGCCCCGGAGGGAGTGTGGTGGAGGCTCCTTCTTTGGAAGCTTTGAAACAGAGGCTGGATGGCCATCTGTCAGGGGTGATTTGAATGCAATATTCCTGCTTCTTGGCAGAATGGGGTTGGACTGGATGATGGCCCAGGAGGTCTCTTCCAACTCTAGGATTCTAGGATTCTATGATTCTATGATGGTCTGTTCCCTGGACCTGAATTGCTACCAGAGAATTCCCAGGACTTTGAGGTTGAAAAAGGCTGGGCATCTGTGCCAGCTGCAGAAATTAATGAGCCAGTCGATAGGAGAAGTGCTTCCAGTCAGCACAGGAAAACAAACAAGGCTCTCAGGTGCTCTGCCAGATTGCAGGAGAGACTGATCGCAGATTCAAGGCTGAGAAGAAATCCTTTCCTGGCCACTTGGGATATAGAGTAGATTAGGGGATAAAAGTGCCAAGGACAGAATCTGTAGCCAGACGAAGCAATGTGGGAATTGAGTCAAGACGTCGTCTCAGGTCCCTGGAAGCCTTGCCTTGGATAGATTCCTGTATCAAGTACCTTGTAATTTCTATGCTGCAGTGCCTTGCTTGATTCATGCTCAAGTTTTGGGGTTTTGCCTTGGAAGTTCCAGTATTTGTTGTCATGAACTCTGATGGACTATTCCCTGGATTTGTTGTTCCTATCTTTCCTTTCTACCTAATTGGATTTACCTATTTCTGTGGATTGCTTCTTTAGTTCTGCCAGCTGAGGATGATGATGAGGGGTTTGAGGTGTGCAGGGTCTTCAGGCAGAGCCCAGCAGATGGTCGCAGCCCCCCCCCCCGCATCTCCTGCCCTGAGGCCTCGAGATGGCAGCCCCCCCCCCCGCATCTCCTGCCCTGAGGCCTCGAGATGGCATAGCAACCAGCTCCAAGGGCCCCAAGTCAAGCATCCTACCCCCCCCCCAATGCAAGCAGGGCACTCATACAAGCAGTTACACCCACTTGAAAGAGGAGAAAGTTGGACAGAGTGGCAAAAGATTTCTTAAATGCTACTACAGCCACGAAGAGTCAGCGGGGAAGCGGTTACTGTGCCACTTACTCATGGTGAAGTCGTAGGCAACGCAGCTGGAGGTCTCTTCCTGCAGAAATGGAAATGATGGCAATTGGTCAGTTGGCCTCCCTCCCAAAGCCCCCCCTTGCAAGGAAGGAAGCACCACCAGCCAGCACTGGGACCAAGTGATCGTCCTCCTCTTCTTCCTCTTCTGCTGCCCCTTAAGGCACATCTACGCTGACTATTTAATGAAGTATCAAACCAGTGTTGAAGAAAGTGGTCTTGCCATGCAGATGATTATAGACGGAGGAAATCCTGGAAGCAACTGGAGGCCCCGATGGTGATTGCACAACCACAAAGAAAAGCCATGCATATTAAGGGCTTTCGTTGGCATACATTCGTAGGAGCCTGTTGTCTAGTTGCCACAGACTGAAGCTGGCTTGGGACTGCATTGAATGGCCAGTGCAGATGCACCTTAGTCATGAGAAAGCAGCTCAAACCCTTCTGGTTCCACTACAGAAGGCTCTCACGGAGTGACCGTGCAAAGCTGTTGGAGGAAGGAAGGAAGGAAGGAAGGAAGGAAGGAAGGAAGGAAGGAAGGAAGGAAGGGCTTCCTTGCGCTCAGTGGGTCAGAGAGGAGGGGGCAGTCCTACCTGTTTCCAGCGGCTGACCACTCGGAGGAGGATGGTGTAGTTCCTGCCCTCGTGCAGAGAGACGTTGAGGAGGCCATGCTGGTCTCTCCCCTCTCCGATCACAAAGCCCATCGGCCTCGTGAAGTTGGAAGCTGGGATCACGGCAGCAGCATAGGTCTGGTTGTCCGAGCCGTCAAAAGGCTGGAGCTGCAGGGAGGGGCAGGCGCTGGCGTTGGGGGTCAGCCCCAGGTAGGGGGACACAAAGAGCTGGTACTCCCTGCAAGGAGAAGGGGAGTAGATGGGGTCACGCTGGGAAATGCAGGCCATGCCCCAGAGGACGGGGTCAGGATCCAAAGGGACCTTCACAGAGGAGAGAGTTGGTTGGCCAAGACCCACCACATGCATCTCAACAGGGAGAAACGCACAGTAGGACGCTTTGGCAGTCAAAAACAAAAGGCACCGAGATGGCATGGATTGAAAGAAGTCCATTGAAAGAGACCAAGGAGTCTGAGTAGATGACACACTGAACATGAGTCAACTGCAGATCCCAATGTCCATGGTTCATTGTTCCTCAAAGCTCACCAGGACGTAAAGTGGGTCATGGGGTGTCTGTGTCCCACGTTTGGTCCTGATACCTACACCTGCTTCCACAGACCACTGCAACCCCCACTAATGATGGACATGGACCAAACTTTGGACAAGGACTCTCCCATGATGCCCAGAGAAGGGCCACCTAAATGGTCAAAGGTTGGGAAGCCATGTCTTTGAGGAGGAGGTGTTTAGCCTGGAGAGAAGAAGGCTGAGAGAGAGAAGGGGGCATGGGCGCCATGTTTACATGCTGGAAGGGCTGCCCCATTGAGGAGGAGGAGGAGGAGGAGGAGGAGGAGGAGGAGGAGGAGGAGGAGGAGGAGGAGGAGGAAGAGGAGAGCATGTTTTGTGCTCCTCCAGAGCCTGGGAAGAAATCGCGTGCAACTCTTCCTCATGTTTAGGTGGACACCATATTTAGGTGGGTACCATGTTTACATGCTGGAAGGGCTACCCCATTGAGGAGGAGGAGGAGGAAGAGAAGGAGGAAGAGGAGGAGGAGGAGGAGGAAGAGGAAGAGGAGGAGGAGAACGTGTTTTGCGCTCCTCCAGAGCGCAAAACTCTTCCTCATGTTTAGGTAGACACCATGTTTAGGTGGGTACCATGTTTACATGCTGGAAGGGCTACCCCATTGAGGAGGAGGAGGAGGAGTGGGAGGAGGGGGAGGAGGAAGAGGAGGAGGAGGAGTGGGAGGAGGAGGAGAGCAATGGAGCCTTGGATTCAAATGGAAGGACGCAAAGATTCCACCTAAAAATGAGGAAGAACCTCCCGACATTAAGCGCTCTTTGACCACAGAATCTGCTGCCCAAGAGTCCAGGGGAGTCTCCTTCTTGGGGTGCCTTGAATCAGAGGCTGGAGGGCTTGGGTGGTGTGTCCCTGCATAGCAGGAGCCTGGGCTGGGGGGCCCTTGGGGTCCTTCCTGATTCCAGGACCCTGACACCAAACAGGGAAAGCAATTGGGATGCCAGATCCATGCTCAGACATCTGCGGAGGAAATGGCCCACAGAGTGGCCACTCGGCCGCTATAACCTTCAATGGAATGGAATGGGATGCAGGGGTTTGGCATTGGGCAAAGAGCCTCCCCACCTCCAATGCAGGACTGGTGCTTGAGAAGGAGACCCGTGGGATCTTGGCCCCAGGTTGCATTGGGCATCAACGCTTGAGTGCTCTTCTCCCAAACTCTCCTCCCTCCCTTCCTCTCTCTTCCTGCTCACCTGATGGGTCCATGGAGGTCTGGGAGGGGCTCCAGGTGCAAGAAGACCGTCCCGTCCGAGGCTGAGATGTTGTTCACCTCCAAGGTCCTGGCGCTGGGGGGAAAGAACGGCTCTGTAGGGGTCAGGGACACTGAGGTCAGTGAGAATGCATGGCCACCAGCACAAAAGGTCCCAAGGCAAGCACCCCCCCCCCCCAAACAAATGTCCACGCAAATGGTGCAATCAGGTCAACAACAGCTGGAGTCATCTCACAGGCAGAAGAAAGGGAGGCAAAGGGAGTGTGCCAAATCCTGGAAGACCCACCCCCCTTCCGCCACCGCCAACACACACACACACAATTTCAGCCACATTGGGGCTTCAGCAACAGGGGCAGAGCTTAGAATGGGGACCTCTTTGGAGTACAGTTCCCACAATCCCCAGGAAGCATGGACAGTAGGACTGGGAGTTGTGTGAATGAAGCACAGGCTGCTGCTGGGACCTCACATAAGGAAAGGAAACAGGGAAGGAAGGAAGGAAGGAAGGAAGGAAGGAAGGAAGGAAGGAAGGAAGGAAGGAAGGAAGGAAGGAAGGAAGGAGAGAGGAGAGAGGAGAGAGGAGAGAGGTGGGGAATCAGATCCAAGAAACAGCTTCAGAACCAAAGCAAGTCTTTCTTCTGCCAGGACCCTCATTAGAGGCCTGAGCATGTTGAGGCTGGTGGGAAAGACCACTGGTGGCTTACCCTAGAGGCCAAAGCAAAATGCAACTAGAACAATTGATGGTGTATTTTTAAAGTATCAGGTAGTGTGCCTGTTTTTCACCTGCGATGCCGGTCTCCATCTCCCAGAGCAGCTCCTGGCCGAGCCCCACAGCAGTCAAGGCCTGGACGGTGACGGTGTAGTTGGTGCCGGGCCTCCAGGTCTCCCGCTGGAGCTCCCTCTCGGAGGCATCGACCTGCACTTGCTCCTCCTCCAGGAACGTGGCGTTGTAGGCTCTCCTCCCAGTGATGTTCACCTGCGGGAACCAGGAGTCACCTTTAGGGATGCCTCGGAGGGCCAGGTTTGGCAAGGGGAGGGGGATGGGGATGGGAGCAAGGCCATGCCCACAAAGCCAGTGTTGGGGTCTCCATGGCCTGGGCTGAGATTCAGGGGTTTGGGGCCCAGCAGTCCCCTCCTACCTGGTAGCCCAGAATGGCCCCTTTGCAGGGGGAGGGCGGCCTCCACCTCAGGACTCTGGAGGACACGTCCAGCCATTCTCTCTCTGGCGCATCTGGGACTGGAAGGAAGGAAGGAAGGAAGGAAGGTTAATCAAGGTGGTTCTGAACTGTTCCCCAATGGACGCAGCACTCTGTTTACTCTGGGGAACCTTGCTCCTCCTTTTCAGAGGGGAAGACAGGGTGGGAAGACATGCCAGGGCTTGGTCAAGAGGACAAAGGTTACAAATTAAAAAGAACAGAATAATAATAATAATAATAAAATTGCACAGACGGACTACAAACAGAGGCACAACTCTGTGGCTCAGATGATTCGCTGGAACTCATGTCACAAGGACCACCTGCCAGGAGTCAAGAACTGGTAAAGGGATCATAAACCCGCAAAGGTTGTGGAAAACGAACACGCAAAAACACTGCGGGACTTTCAGATCCAGACTGACAAAGTTTTGGAACCCAATACACCAGACATCACGATTGTGGAAAAGAAAAAAGTCTGATGTCGCCATTCCAGGTGACAGTCGCATTGAGGAAAAACAACAAGAAAAACCTACAACACCCACAACAGGAAAAACTCGGCCATTATCAGGACCTCAAAATTGAACTGCAAAGTCTCTGAAGGCATCAACCAGTCCAGGTGGTCCCAGTGGTCATTGGCACACTGAGTGCTGTGTCAAAGACCTCAGCAAGCATTTGGAAACCATCAACATCGACAAAATCACAACTGCAAAAGGCCTCCTGATTTGGATCTGCGCGCATCATTCGAAAATATATCACACAGTCCTAGACGCTTGGGAAGTGTTTGACTTGTGATTTTGTGATACGAAATCCAGCAGAGAGATCTTGTTTGCTGTGACATACTGTTTCATGACACGCCTCCAGGCTTTGAAGCCCTTGTTTCTTTTTCTTTTAATCTGCTTGGCCTTCGCAGATTCTGCGATTCACTCCTGCTTTTCCAAATCTGTCCTCTTCTATCCTCATTAAGGATCCCAGGTGTTAGCTTCTCTGGAGAGCTATCACCGCTTGACCCTGAAACATTCTCAGGAGAATGTGTACTTTCAGTTTCCAAGCCTGCAGGAGTTTCTTCTACACTGACCTCCGAATCAACATTTTCATTAGAATCATTTTCAGTAGCATCAGGAAATACAATCAGAGAAGCAGGTTCAGGTTCAGGTTCACACCCAGGCTCAACCCCAACAATCCGGCAGTCCTAGTCCTCCCCTCTTAGTTTCATCAGTTAGATTTTTAAATTTTATTCTGGCCTTTTTGTTTTGCCAGATAAACCTATTTTTGTCTTTTTGCCATTTAGCCAGTGTCTTTTCCGTTCTTAGTACTGGAATAATTCTAAATAGGTATAGAACCTCCGCGAGGATATTCATTTTTGTTAGTGCTACCCTTCCCAGGAGAGATAGATTTAACTTCTGCCATTGCCCCATTTTCTCCTTTACCTTCTTCCATTTAATATCATAGTTATTTTTTAACAGTTCTGCATTGCTAGCTGTTATCTGAATCCCCAGGTACTTTACCTTTGTTACAATTTCAATCCCTGTTTTCTTCCTTAGTTCTTCCTTTCTCCCTTTTGGCATGTTTTTGACCAAGAACTTAGTTTTATCTTTGTTTATACTCAGCCCTGCCGATTCTCCAAATGATGCAATTTCTGCCCACCATTTGTCCCACTGCTCTAATGGGTCCTCCATTATGCCCATCACATCATCTGCAAATGCAGCTACCTTGTATTTGTATGATCTCACTTTAAGTCCTTTAATTTCTTGATTATTTCTAATGCTTTCCAGCAGTACTTCCAGGGTCATAATGAAAATCAACGGGGACAATGGGCACCCCTGCCTAGGTCCCTTGTATATCTTGATTGATTCTGAGGTTTGACCGTTTACTATGATTCTGGCGGATTGTTGTGAGTATATAGCCTTAATTGCGTTTGTAAAATGAAAACCGGCGTCCATTTCTTTCAGTAGTTCAATTACAAATCCCCAGTTGACCCTGTCAAATGCCTTCTCAGCATCCAGAAATTGGAACCCTACTTCTTTCTGTATGTGTCTCTCGTAGGATTCTACTGCATTGAGAATCAGTTTGGTGTTGTTACTTATTTGTCTCCCTGGTAGAAAGCCAGTTTGGTCTTCATTTATCCTTGAGTTAAGAATCCTTTTCAATATTTTTTTTAAATAATTTTTATTAAGGTATTTTCTAATACAACGAAAGAGTGAGAACATTTGAAGAAGATAGGAAAGTAGGAAAAAAGAAAAAGTATATATATATATAGAAAAAAGAAAAAGTATATATATATATAGAAAAAAGAAGAGGAAAAAAAAGCGAAATGCAACAAAAAAATAAAAATAAAAATAAAAATACAAAAATCCATATAACAAAAAAAATAAAAAAGTTTGACTTCCATCTCCTCGTCAGGTGTTGTGTCTCCAATAATGGTACTGTTGCGTTCCCAAATTTATCTCTTATTTACTTTTTTTTTTCTTCTTTCTCGTACTTATCAAAAAGTGTCCTTTTTAGAATCCTTTTCAATCTTGATGCTAACAGCCCCGAGAAGATTTTATAGTCAACATTAAGCAAGGAGATTGGTCTGAAATTTTTAATTTTTGTGTTGTCGTAGTCTTCTTTCGGTATCAAAGTTATATGTGCTGTCCTCCATGTATCTGGTATTTTCTTCTCTTCCAAAATTCTGTTTATTACTTTCGTTAGTGGTGGTGCGAAAACCTTGCTGAAGATTTTGTAATATTTTTCCGTAAGTCCGTCCGGACCTGGAGACTTGTTCGATGGCAGGTCTACTATTACCTTCCGTGTTTCATCTTCTGTTGCCTTCTTGTTCAGTATTTCTCTTTCTTCCTCTGTCATTTTCTTTATTTTCTGTTTTCCCAAGTACTGTAATACCTTTTCCTTGCGGATGTTATCATCTGCATACAGTTTCCTGTAGAATTTGCGGAATTGTTCTTCAATCTCTGTTTGGTTGACATAGCATTTCCCTCCTTCTTCTATTTTATTTATCTGCTGTTTGTGTTTTTTCTTCCTAATTTTCCATGCTAGGTACCTCCCAATTTTATTAGTGTTTTTGAAATGGTTTTGTTTTATATATTTTAGCTTTTAGCTTATTTCCTCTAGTTGATATGAGTCTATCCTTTTCCTTAATATGTCCAATTGTAAGCACATTTTCTTATTATCTGGTTTTAACTCTATTTCTTTTTGCGTTCTGTTGGGGTTGCCTTTTATAAAGGGACACAGAAGTGGGTCTCAGTGGCACCTCTGGTTGGGCATGGGGTGGGTGGGTGGTCCTTCTTGGGGCAAATGCATTCAACAGAGGGCTGTCCCACCAAATTAACCCTCCCCTCCTCCCCAGGCTTCTCTTACCTGCGTCCTGCATCAGGATATATTCCTCATACAAGAGATGCCAGCCCACCTTTGCATGGAATCCATAGACAACGACGCGATATGAAGAAGAGGGATCCAAGCCATCACAATGCAAGGTCTGGTTCTGTGTGAGAGGACTCCATCCTCTCCATCTGTGTTTCTTGCAGGACCCATGTGGTCGCCTGGTCAGTTGGCAGGAGCCCCGGAAGGCCCAGTCCTGGCAGAGTCCTGGGGGGCTGCAGCCCCACCTGAGCCTGATGCTGGAGGCTGAGGCCTGGAGCTCTTCCTTGGAAACCTGGGGCTTCTCTGAGGAGCAAATGCAGGAAGGACGGTCAGTGGAAAGCAGGCCCTTCCAGACCGGCCTCCCAGCCCAGAGCCTCCAACCCGCCCACCAGGTTGGAAGGTTTCCATTTCCACCTGAAGACGGAGAAACCAGCCTCCAAGGTCCTCTCCATGAGGAGGCCAGGGTGGACATTGGGGTCCTATGGGGCCTGGGCTGCAGCGAACCCACTCCAGGCCCCCTTCCTGGCTCCCATGCCTCTGTGGAAGGAACTGAACGGAGTTGGGGTGAAGGGATTCATGTTCAGGACCTTGGACAGCTCCCCCAGACCCAGGAATAGAAACCCAGAATGGATTCCTCACTCCCTCGATTGTGGTGCATCTACACGGGAACCTTGGGATGTGTAGTTGGGGGAAGCGCAGAGGATGAAAGACCTTGCAGAAAGGGGATACTGACAAGCTGGAAGGGAGACCCAAATGGTCCAAGGTTGATGCCATGGATCCCCTGAGGATTGGCCGAGGGAGCAGCAGGGGATGTTGAGCTTGGAGAAAAGGAGGCCGAGAGAAGGGGGCAAGGGGGCCGTGTTTCCATGTTGGGTAGGGTGCCATCCTGAGGAGGAGGAGGAGGAGGAGGAGGAGGAGGAGGAGGAGGAGGAAGGGCAAGGCTTGGTTTCTGCTGCTCTGGAGACTGGGACACAGCAAAGCCATGGGTTCAAATGACAGGAAAAGAGATCCCGTCTCAACATGAGGATCAGAAGAGCTCTTTGGCAGTGGCATAGGCTTCCCTGAAGTCCAGCGGAGTCCCCTTCCTTCTCTGGAGGTTTTGAAGCTGAATCTCGAGGGCCATCTGCCTAGAGGGCTTGGGTGGTGCCTTCCTGCCTGGCAGAAGGGGGCTGGACTGGAAGGACTCTAGAGCTCCCTCCCAATTCTATGATTCTATGATGCTATGACCCACAACTCACCAATGCATTGGAAGCTGCTGGTGTCCCATTCGGGACGGCCGTCCTTCTCTCTGCACCAGATCCAGCTTTTCTTGGGTCCGACGTATTGCTCCAGGCGACATCTCACCCGAACCCTTTCACCAATGACAAACGTCTCCTTGGGAGATGTTCAACAGCAGAGACGGAGGAGGGCCACTCTGCCCTCGAACAAGATCCTCCTGGAGCCTTGCTGGTGGTCAGTGGGGGGCCTGGCTCAGGGCTGGTGGAAGGAGGGGAGGTGGTTGACCCCTTCTCTGCCTTGCAAATGGGCCTGACATTCCAGTCAACCATGGCACGCTTTTCAACACACTGGACCTTCTCTGGAACGGGACGGTACCCTTCTGCACAGGTCAGGGTCAGGGTCTCTCCGGGGCCAAAGGTCGAGGCCCGAGGGGTCCATTCCACTCCCCCATCCAAATTCATGGGCACTTGGCATCCTTAGAGGAAACGAGCAGAGGTGGGTTCCTGTCAGTCTGGCTCTCAGTCCAAAGGAAGGATTAAGGTTAGTGTTCTGGGTTTCAAAGATTGGGGGGGGGGGCGCAGGGGAATCACGGCCCAAAATTATGCATAGAAAACAATGGAGTCCCTGGGGAAAGTTCACCTCCTGGTTGATGGTGCTGAAGAAGGAATGCAGCTTGACCCCAATTGAAACCCATACTATGGAATTGTGGGGTTTGTAGTTTTGTGAGGGACTCACACTCCTTGTAAAACTACAACCCTTAGGATGCTACAGCGTTGAGCCGTGGTGCCCAGAGGCTATCTGACTATAGAAACAGTGTAGAGGCTCCCCTTGACATAATGCTCCGGAATCACAACTCTTGTTTTGGAAGATGGCCATTAACCCAGTCAGGACACGGAGCTAACACGGGTTCTCTCCTTTTACTTTGGCCGCCTTGAGCCTTGAGTGATACAGCTGAACTTGTACCAGCTGTTTTGGCGATCTTTTGGATCTTTGCTCGAAAGCAAAAACCACCTCTTCCAGCAAAGGGACGAGCCATGTCCTCTTTGCAACAGGTATTGTTTTCCCCTCATCCCTTCTGCCAAAGCACAAAGACATCATGGGAAGCGCATCGGGATCCTCTTTCCACAAAGGCAAGGGATGCCCCTGATGAGCCTGACATCTTTCATGAAGGACCCATGTTGCCTTTGGCTGAAGCCCAGGGTGCATCTATATTCTGGAATGAATGCAATTTTCCATGGCATGGAGCCACGGCGGTTCAGTAGGGTCAAACTGCATTAATTCTGCAGTGTAGATGTGCCCTAGAAGTGAACTGTGATTTTAATGGGTGGAAGGAGAGTGTCTCCATACTTATTGTCTCTTCTTCTGTCTTTGTGCAGCATTTGGCCCAGCCCTCCCCAGGAGGACCCCCAATTTCAAGGGCCCCCACCCCAAGGATCCTCTTCCAGGACAAGAGCACCCTTCTGCTGCCCCCCTCCCTTCCTGAAACCCACTCACGCAGGCAGGGGACGCGGCTGAGGTCCCAGGCGGCTCCCTCCCCATCGGCCACGCAGACCACCTTGTATGCTCTACGATCTTTGGTTTCCTGACAGGTCACAGATGCCGTGTCATTGACATAGAACTCCTTTCGCTCGGGAGAAAAGACCACCAACCTCAGCAAGGACCCAGTCACCTCACACTTGGGGAGACCTGGAGGAAGAGAGGCAAGAGAGGAAATTATGGTCAAACTCTCACAATGGGAGGAACACAATTCAGGAATACACAGAGTGGTAGTTTGCCAAGGCCCAACCTTCTCTGGATGCACCTGTGCCAGACCTGCACAATATTAATCCCATAAGACTCATAGGTCCCCCCAAGGGAATTCAGGTGGCCCACAATGGTCCAAGAGCAGGAGCCAGATCATGACATCCAGACCCCATTCCCACCTCCCTTTTTGCTCCCACAAAGGAGCCCCTCTTCAGGGCCCCATGCTGTCAAGCTCCACCCATCTCTGATGCACCAATGGGCAGGGAGGAGATGTGGGGGGTCAGTCTGACCGGACAGTTGCTATCCCTCTTTGGCCTGGCAGATGTGGCTCCCTTGTGGCACATGGCATTCACAGAATGAGCACACAGAACCACATCTGGGGGAGGGGGAGAGAGAGGAAGGGAGGGGGCTCGGGACAGCTTCCCTGGCAGCCAAAGAGAGGGAGGAAGCCCCGCACCCAGGTCTCCGTGGCAGGTTCCCAAGGAACTAAGCTCTTCTGGGGAGGCCCTGCTCTCGGTCCCACCACCATCACAGGTGCGTTTGGTGGGGACGAGAGACAGGGCCTTCTCAGTGATGCCCCCCCCCCCCCCGTGTTATGGAACTCCCTTCCTGGCAATATTCAATTTATTTATTTATTTATTTATTTGGAGCATTTATTAACCGCCATTCTCAGCCCACTCGGGCGACTCACGGCGGTGTACAGTACAAAAGGCAATTCACACAAAGACAAGTACAACAGCATATTAACCATACAACAATACAACAGTTAAAATTACACTAACTAATCCGCTTCGTCTCGTAATAGAATCGTGACCAATCTCGTATTCCTTGTACCATTCCAGTCGTCTTTACCACATTACTATAGCACTTAATTAAATGCCCTCTCGAACAGCCACGTCTTGAGGCTTTTTCGGAAGGACAAAAGAGAGGGCGCCTGCCTGATGTCTGTAGGGAGAGTGTTCCACAACCGGGGGGCCACCACTGAGAAGGCCCTCTCTCTCGTCCCCGCCAGGCGTGCCTGTGAGGCAGGCGGGATCGAGAGAAGGGCCTCCCCAGACGATCTCAAGGTCCTCGTGGGCTCATAGGCCAAGATGCGGTCTGAAAGGTATTTTGGGCCGGAGCCGTTCAGGGCTTTGTAGGCCAACACCAGCACCTTAAATTGGGCCCGGTAGCAAATCGGCAGCCAGTGGAGCTGGGACAACAAGGGTGTTGTGTGCTCCCTGTATCCCGCTCCAGTTAGTAACATGGCTGCCACACGCTGAACCAGCTGAAGCTTCCGGGCCGTTTTCAAGGGCAGCCCCACGTAGAGAGCGTTGCAGTAGTCAAGCCGGGATGTGACCAGAGCGTGTACCACCGTGGCCAAGTCAGACTTCCCGAGATACGGGCGCAGCTGGCGCACGAGCCGAAGCTGTGCAAATGCTCCCCTGGTCACCGCTGAAACCTGGGGATCCAGGCTCAACGATGAATCCAGGGTCACACCCAAGCTGCGAACCTGCGCCTTCAAGGGGAGTGCGACCCCGTCCAGCACAGGCTGTAACCCTATACCCTGCTCGGCCTTGCGACTGACCAGGAGTACCTCTGTCTTGTCTGGATTTAATTTCAGTTTGTTCGCCCTCATCCAGACCATTACAGCGGCCAGGCACCGGTTCAGGACCTCGACAGCCTCCTTAGTAGCAGGTGGAAAGGAGTGACAGAGTTGGACATCATCTGCGTACAGATGACACTGCACCCCGAAACTCCGGATGATCTCACCCAGCGGCTTCATGTAGATATTAAACAGCATGGGGGACAGTATGGAACCCTGTGGAACCCCACAAGTCAAAGGTTGTGGGGCAGAACAGGAGTCCCCCAATAACACCTTCTGGGTGCGTCCCTCCAGGAATGAGTGGAGCCACTGCAGAGCAGTGCCCCCAAGGCCCATTTCCGCAAGGCGCCCCAGAAGGATACTGTGGTCGACAGTATCGAAGGCCGCTGAGAGGTCCAGGAGCACCAACAGGGACACACTCCCCCTGTCTAGCTCCCGGCGCAGATCATCCACTAAGGCGACCAAGACCGTCTCGGTACCATGTCCCGGTCTGAAACCAGACTGTGCCGGATCCAGATATCCGTGTCTCTCAAGAATACCTGGAGTTGTGAGGCCACCACGCTTTCCATGACTTTGCCCAAAAAGGGGAGATTGGAAACAGGCCCCCTGTCAATCCGCCCCCTCCCTCCTGTCCTTCAGGAGGATGGTGAAGATCTGGCTGTGGGACCAAGCCTTTGGGGCAGGGCAAGGAGGCAATATTAGAATGGGGTCCTGATGTCCACCCTCTCCTGAAAAAACCAAGCCTTGATGCTGCCATCCCTAGTAACTATCGCCCAGTTTCAAACCTTCCGTTCCTGGGCAAGGTGATTGTACGGACAGTGGCGGGGCAGCTACAGCCATTCTTAGGTGAGACTGCGGGTTTGGACCCCTTCCAATCCGGCTTTCGTTCAGGTCATGGGACAGAGACTGTCTTGGTAGCCATTACTGACGAAATTCGTTGTCAGTTAGACCGAGGCGGATCAGCGCTATTGGTACTCTTGGACCTCACAGTTGCATTTGACACCGTGGACCATGACTGGCTGATTCCTCGATTGGCTCTGCCTGGTGTACGAGGAGGTTTAGCCCTCAAATGGTTCAATGCGTTCCTCCGGGACCGGAGACAGAGGGTGGAGTGGTCAGGCCAAAGCTCTGAGAGCTCCTGCCTTGGCTGTGGAGTGAGTTCCCCAGAGTGCCATCCTCTCGCCCCTCTTGTTTAACATCTACGTCCGGCCACTTGCTGGACTGGTGCGGAGCTTTGGCCGAGCGTGCTACCAGTATGCAGATGATACCCAACTACTCTTGCGTCTCGAACCTGGGACAACTGTGAATCCTGAGAACTTTAGGCTGTGTTTGGAAGCAGTGATGAGTTGGCTGCGAGCGAGCAGACTCAAAGGGAATCCTGCACAAATGGAGATCCTCTGGCCTGGCCAGCCGCCAGAATTAACCCAGTCTCTGCCTGATTTCGATGGGGAAGCTCTGGTTCCGCCTGCCAGTGTTCATAGCCTTAAAGGGGTTGTGTCGGACTCAATGGTGACGATGGAGGCCCAGATCACTGCCATAAGTAAGCAGGCCTTTTCTCATCTTCGCCAGGCAAGGAAATTGGCATCCGACCTCTTGGTAGAAGCATTGGCAACGGTCATCCATGCAACAGTCACCACGAGGTTGGACTATTGCAACGCCTTCTATGCTGGCCTTCCGAAGTCAACGACCCAGAAGATTCAGATGGTCCAAAATGTGGCAGCCAGGCTGCTAGCAGGATCATCTCTAAGATCCCATATGACACCGATTCTGCAATAACTGCATTGGCTACCAAGAGAACATCGGATCTCTGACAAGATCCTGATCCTGACATTGAGAGCTCAAAATGGCCAAGGACCTTGATATCTTAGGGACCGCCTCATTCCTTTTCCCCATCCGTGGTCACCTTGATCCACCCAGGAAAATCTCCTCTACATCCCGGGCCCGAGGGAGGCACATTTGGAAGCTACAAGGCGTAGTAGAGCTTTTCCGACCTCTGCTCCAATTCTGTGGAACTCTTTGCCTCCATACATTAGAGCAATGTCGGAGTTGCAACCTTTTGCAAAGGCGCTCAAGACTTGGTTGTTTGGTTGTGCATTTAAGTAACCGGATCAAATTTTGCCATAGTCACTGCTGAATGTTTTTATGTTGAATGTTTTATGTTGAATGTTTTTATATTGAATGTTTTTATATTGAATGTTTTATATTGTGTATAAACTGTTTTAAATTGTAAGTCGCTCGGAGCACCTTGGTGGAGAGCGACTAATTAAGAAATAAAGTGATGATGATGATGATGATGATGATGATGATGATGATGATGTCGCACCTCAGAATAGATTCCCAAACTGCACACGGACTGAAGTCTTTGTAGTTTATTGAAAAGTAAAAGATAAAAAGTTCTTAAAAGCAAGTGAAAGTTCCAAGAGATCAATCTAACACAGCACGATGAAGCATGATCCAAAGAGGCACCAACAAAACAAAATCTCATGAGAACATGACAAAGTCCCGAGACCATGGACACAAGAACTACAAGATAATCCAGGCAAACGAGCACAAGCTGCTTGGTTGAGCGAAAAGTTGCTCTGACAAAGGTTTGTTTTCAAACACACTGCTTAATACCCTTTGCAATACATGAAAGCATTTCTTTGGCCTCTGACCTCCTTCTTGTTGGCTATTCTCACACTCCTTCGAACTCTGAATTCCAAACGGTCAGCCCGATCTAAGATTCCCGTTTCCTCAAGGTCAGGCTGCTCGTTAGTGTCAGCCTGGTTGCCTTCCTGCTCATTATCAGGCTGAGAACTGTCCTCCTTCTCTGAGTCAACTTGCACCTGGCTGGTTTCAGTATCAAAAACATCATTCCTAGCTTTGGGAAACTGAACTTGCGCACCCTGCTCCTCATTGTCTACAACAGGAACATTTTGAACCTGATTGTGAACCTGAATCCCATCATCCTCGTCAGAGTCACTCTGAGACCCCATCTGAGCCACAACACTATCAGTCTGTGGTTCCAACGGAGTCACAACTACTTTCTGGTTTTTAAGCAACTGATTTTAAAGTGAATATAAGTGATTTTAATGTTTGTATATATTTATGGTTTTCTGTCCTGGCATTGAATGTGTGCCATATATATGTTGTGCTCCGCCCTGAGTCCCCTAAGTTGGGGTGAGAAGGGCAGAATATAAATGTTTTACATAAATAATAAATAAATCACTCCTAGAATCATAGAATCCTAGAGTTGGGAGAGACCTGGTGGGCCATCATCCAGTCCAACCCCATTCTGCCAAGAAGCAGGAACATTGCATTCAAAGCACCCCTGACAGATGGCCATCCAGCCTCTGTTTAAAAACCTCCAAAGAAGGAGCCTCCACCACACTCTCTCCAGGGCAGAGAGTTCCACTGCTGAACAGCTCTCACAGTCAGGAAGTTCTTCCTCATGTTCAGATGGAATCTCCTCTATTGTAGTTTTAAGCCATTGTTCCGCGTCCTAGTCTCCAGGGAAGCAGAAAACAAGCTTGCTCCCTCCTCCCTGTGACTTCCTCTCACATATTTACACATGGCTATCATGTCTCCTCTCAGCCTTCTCTTCT